ATTTCCAGCACTTTTCAGACCTAATTACAGGCTGATTTTGACTTTTGCTTAGGCTGGGCTTTACATTTCGTCCTTAGTATTTACATATCCTCAAGCTCTCTGCGCAATAGGGCCTTAATTAAATTTGCCCTCAAGAAACCTAGTGCAATTCACAAAATGTTCAATATTTGCTGCAGTTTTAGCCTACTCCCATCCTCGAACTGCTATTTATTTCATGACTTTGAAGGGTATTACAAGTGCATGTGCATTTCAAACAACTAGGCCCCTAAACCCGCTCCACGCGCTCAATGACCCAAATCTGTTTTGAGCTTCAAAAGCAGGCTTTTTATGAATAGGAGATCAAATCCACTTATGTGATGCATTCTTTTATGTTTTTATGTTAATTCTGAAGCGACCAAAGATTAACATTCGTGAAGTCCAAATAAGTATGGTAGTAATGAGCGATAATCAGACTAAATGATATAGCTATTAGGAAGTTAATTATGATCTGCTGTTGAATGATGAACAAGGACTAGACGCGTGCTTGTTATCAACTATTATACATTCGAAATTCTCGTTTTCAGGCTATGAACAAACTTTCCAGAAAATTCTGCAACATATTTACAACAATTTTCATCTTCTGTTGCTTTGGAAATCGTAGAACGAATTTCCAAAAAAATTTCACTGCATTTTTCTATTGAAGACGCATAAACTTTACCCTTTTTTGTATTTATTTTATGATTTCTCCTTTTTTCTTTATAATGGCTGGTCAAGAAATGCATCGCTCTCCTCAAACTCTACATTACTATAATGAAGCTTTCATATTTTTGGTTCCGTCCTCATTACCATTCTTTTGCAAAACTCTTATTATTTTCAGATTGAAACACTGTTAATGCACTATGACACATTTTGAATCTGGCTATTATGTGCAATCATCGTCACCATTGGATTCGGCACTATTTTTCGTACTAGCCGCATTTATTCTCAACATCATCGTTGTCTTTAGTAAGTTAGATTTTTGATGGGTGGCTATAAGTTGGGCTAGGTGGAATATAAGTTCTGATCCCATCAAATCCCTTTTTTGCATAATTTGGGACATTTTGGGCCATAGGAAAGGCTGTGATCAGAATTGTATATAAGGCAAAAACACAAAAATCTAACCATTACAGCGCAAAAATCCTTGGTAGTTGGTACTATTCTTTGAGCCTCTATTTCTCAATAACTGAAGAATTTTACTCATAAAAATCTTCTAATTTCGAATGATTCCTGTTTAGAAATCGCGCGCACTTTTTTCTTAAATGTTATGGGACAAAAGAGGGCTGATACGTGATGACGAAATCTCTTCAAACTTTTGTAGTACCCTTACCATATTATCAGAGTTTAATAATTGCGCTGAACCTATACAGTTTTAGTCTTTGTAGTCTGATCTGGGTAAAATCACCCTACATTCTTCCCATCAATTATATACGCACTCCGAACACTACTCATTTCTCCTACTACATCCTCCCAACAAATAGTCCTAATTTATCATTTTGAGGATTCTAAGCGTGTAATTGAGGTTTTCCGATGCAGACTATAAAAACGGAAAGCGGATATCCGGATAGCACAGAGATTAGCCAGGAGCGGCAGCTATACTAGATGAAAAATCTGCGTTTTGTTCTGTTTTCTTATAGTGAAGCTAGCACACCACATATTGAGTCCAAAAAACCAGACAAATTCTTCCCATGGGGCCTCCAAGCTTTTCGTAATCGCATTTTCGCACTAGTGATTTGATATGTGTGTGTGTGTGGTACGCAACTGCACTATTCTATGAAAACTACCATATAAACGTAATCTATGAAAAAAATATCTTTTCAGTGGCTTTTTGCTATTTCGATCCATCTCCGGAACCACCGTTAATTAATCGAACATATAACACCTTGAGACGGATCAGCAGAGCGGCCACTAGAGCTAATGGCCATTCGCTAAAGGAAGTGGACGATGCAAACACTGTATTATTTGTCTGATTTCAATTATTTAATCATGTTTTCATCAAACTAAAGACCAAATTGAGGCATTTCTGAGTATTTTTTATTTTTCTTTCAAATCTGAAGGTGTTCCAAACATTTCCATTGTTTTGTGCCTTCCTTGCCCCTTGTTCGTCAATTTGGTATAATCAAAGTGACGAAAATAGAAACTTGGTTTAGTTCAATTGTCTAAATCGCTTCTCTCCCATTTTTATAGCATAGTTCCCACTGTACGGGTTATTAATTTTACGGTGTTGCTAAACAATATCTGGAGCCACTCACGACGTTTATGTTTTTCATGGTTTGGAAGTGTCTATAAAGTGCTTGCCTACATTATCATTATATTCTGCAATTATTAATTCTTAGAAGTCTACTTTTCAGCATCAAATAAACCAAAAGTTTACTTTTATGCAAACAATGGCTGATGCGAAAAGAGTTCCTTTTTATGGAAGAATGGGATGAAGTGC